TAGATGTGACATGGGTTGGCTCTGTGTCCCCACCTAAATCTCATGTTGAATTGTAATTTCCAGTGTTGGGGGAGTGACCTGGTGGGAGGTGACTGGATCATGAGGGAGGGATTTCTCCCTTACTGTTCTTGTGAAGGTAAGTTCTTAAAATATCTGGCTGTTTGAATGTGTATAGTACCTACTCCCTTCACTCTCTCTCTCCTGCCGGCTATGTGAAGAAGTGCTTGCTTCCCCTTGCCTTTAGCCATGACTGTAAGCTTCCTGAGGCCAACCCAGAGGCAGAAGCCTGTAAGCCATCTGAACCATGAGCTGATTAAACCTCTTTTTTAAATAAGTTATGCAGTCTCAAGTAAAGTAGTGTGAGAACACACTAATAGGGTATCTGTGACTTAAGACTTCTGCTAAGTGGTTAGAGTCCCTGACATATCCAAATGGCCAGGCGATGTAACTGTTGAGTCCCCTGAGGGCAGGAATCTATCTCCTCCTACTTTATCCTGACTATGTTGCTAAAGCACCAAGAGGTAATTGGTGTTTGTTGATTGAGGTTTTGGTTCTTTGACTGAACAACTCAACCCTTTTGTAAATATACTTTTATATTTTAAAACTTCAGAACTATTCTGTATTCTTTAATCTCTCGGGGTCTCTATTACTGTTCTCTGCAGGACAAATGATTTGGACTAGTTCTGAGCTGACTGCTTTAGAAGACAAGAAATAAGTGCTGACTCTTCGTTCAACTTATCAAATATTTTATTGACACCTATGATGAGCCATCAATTGAATGTCGAATGTGAAAAAAAAAAAAAAAGAAGAATTCAGGCAGATACTAGCATCTTTCACCTAAGCAACTAGACAGGATAAAAGTTCTAATGATCTATTGTTGCACAACAAATCATTTCAAAACTGAGTGGCTTAAAAGAACATTTTTGTTATTTCTCAGGATTCTCTAGGTTGACTGAGCTATGCTCTGCTATTCTTGCTTGAGGCAAGACCAGAACTAGAGAAAGGTGAGTGTAGTGTCTAAAGTACAAAATTTAAGGAGGTACACACTCCTGGAGTCTTCAGAACCCCATTATGAAGATCAGTGCCTCCTTAAATTTTATACCAAAATGCCTAATTTGCCTCACCCTGACCCCAACCCTCGCTTGGGGTCTCTCTCATATGCCTTCAGTCAGATGGCAGCTAGAACTGAAGTCATCTGAACGTTTGATTGAGCTGGACATCCAAGATAGTGTCTCCACTTACAAGTCTGGTGGCTTCCTCACTCACTTGGCTAAAACAGCAGGGAGCTGGCCAGGGATCTCCTTCCGTCTCCATGTATCCTCTACACATAGTAAGCATGGGCTTCTTCACAGCATGCCAGTCTGAAGGTAATCCAGATGTCTTACATGGTGACTGGCTCCTCCAGAGCAAGCATTCCCAGAAGTCTCATATGGTTTGGCTCTGTGTCCCCACCCAAATCTCATCTTGTAGCTCCCATAATTCCCACATGCTATGGGAGGGACCCAGTGGGAGGATTGAATCATGGGGGTGGGTCTTTCTCAGGCTGTTTTCATGATATCGAATGGATCTCTTGAGATCTGATGGTTTTAAAAACAGGAGTTTCTCTGCACAAGCCCTCTCATTGCCTGCTGCCATTCACATAAGACGTTTGCTCCTCTTTGCCTTCTGCTATGATTGTGAGGCCGCCCGAGTCATGTGGAACTGTAAGTCCAATAAACCTCTTTCTTCTGTAAATTGCCCAGTCTTGCGTATGTCTTTATCAGTAGTGTGAAAACTAATTAATACAGGGCCTGAGTAGAAGCTGCAAGGCTTCTTGTGATCTAGCATTGGAGGCCCCAGAATCTCAGTCACTTCTACTATGTCCTATTAGTAAAAGTCGGTAAGGCCTGCCCAAGACTCAAAGGGAAGGGAAATAGACTCTTGCCTTTTGATCTGAGTAGTAAGGATATAAAGGGAGGGAGAAAATGGATGGAGACCAATTTTTGAGGGTATCGACCACAGAAAGCCCAGTAAACAAATAGGTTTTGAGGATGGGAAGTTAGAAGTGCTCTTGGGAAAGCTTACATTTGAGATGTCCTTGGAGCCAAGTGAGTATATACATATGGAGATCAGAGAAAGACTGAGATTGAAAACATCAAATTAGGAGATGCAACTTATAGTCAAGGCACTAGGTGTGGTTACCTAAGGAGTTGAGAGAGAGAGAAGGAGCCACCAGGCAGTAAACAGGGAACAGGGGAGTGTGGCGTTTCAGATGTCAAATTTTAAAAAACCACTTTGAAAAGAAGGAGGTGATCAGTCACGGCCAATGCTGCTGAAATGTCAAATCAGCTGAGGACGGAGAAGTGACCATCAGATCGAGCAAGGTTTTGGTCACTAGTGACTCTACATAATCAAATGGAACTCGATTATGTAGAGTGAACCGAGAGGAGAACAAGAGAGTGGGCAAAGTGAGTCAAAGTAAGTTTTTCAAGTTTTCATGAAAATGGGATAGCGACTGAGTAAGGAAGTGGAGTGTAGAAGGTTTTACTATTATTTTTTTAAGATAGGAGACAGTATAGCCTATTGTGGTGAATGGCGATGATACAGTGAAAAAAAGCAGGCTGAGAGCTCTCAGGCTGGCATGCTAATGCCCTGTGACTGCCACGCAGAGGTCCCCAAAGCAGGCAGATTGCCCTTAAACCCCACTGAGAGCTGTATCAAGGCCAAGGTGGGCAAGTTTTACCAAAAACACAACACAAAAAAAGAATTACGTGAATGCTGAGAGCAGCGATTCTCAAAGTTTGAGTAGCATTCTCTGATAACTTGTTAGAAATGCATATTCTTGGGACCCATCAGTCCAGCTGAATCAGAAACTTCCAAAACTAGAGATCCGAGTTTTCTCATACTTGGTTAAAGTTTGGGACCCACTATTCTAAAGGAACGCAACAAAAATTCAAGTCAAGATGAAACTAAGTGCTGCCTTTTTTCCTTATGAGCCTAAAATAACAAAGCTTTAAAGACAAGAGGGGCTTTTTCAAGTGTCTACTTGGCTCGGAACCTTACCTACGAGGGACCCAAGACTCAGAGAAGGTTGAGTCGTCCAAGTCCTCCAGGCAGAACTCAGAGGACAGTTCCAAATAACAGAAAAGAGAGAGAAAGCCAGGAATATGGCTGTTTGCCGTGCCATGAAGCTGCAGCCTTTCTGTATGTTTGAAGTATCGATTTATATTGTTGTTGATCTTCTACAACTCGAATCGGTCCGCCTGACGTCAATCTGGCTCCTTTCAGGTGTGACGTTGGTTTTGGGGACTGCAGAGGTGCAGCTTCCCACGGCTGACCCAGCGCCTCCGCGGAACGCAGCAGCCTCAGCAGGCGCGGGAGGCTTTTCCGCAGCCGGAGAAATCCAGGGCCGGGGCTCCGGCTGTGACTTTTGCCATTTCAAATTCGCCTGGCCTCGGGGGAGCGGCGGGACGGCCCGCTGCTCGGAGCATCGGAGGCCTGGCTCCCTCTGTTTCTGTAGGGGAGCTTTAGCCTTAATTTTTGTGACAGATGGAGTTGATAGTCTCTCCACGGAAAGGGGAGGAAAAAAGCGCGTTTTTGACAGGCCGCAGACGCCCGCTGCCTCTGGTGGCCGAAGGCTGCGTTGCGCCCCAGTTAAGGTAGCTCGGAAATTCCCGCGCCGAGACTGCAGAGGTCTCCTCTGCCGGGCAGCCTCCCTTAAACTTCGTGAGGGGCTGAAACTTACACTTTAACAGAAACCTTTGGGGTCTGTCCTCCTCCTGTCTTGTGACTGCGGCCGGGTGGTACTTGTTCAACATTCCTCAATATTTTAAATGCTATTTTAATTTTTTCATGACGGCACGTGTTGCAAGCCTATCTTCCTAAGAAATTATTTCGGTTGACTGGATTTCCGTCTCGCAATTTGAAAACCAAGCGTGGCGCACGGGCTGTACCTACTAGATGGGCTAGATGGGGCTGGAGGGTTGGGGGGGGGCGGGCTGTAAGCATCTTATCAACATCTTTCTAACCAAGTGTGCGCTTCTTTCTTGCATGCTTCTTTAAAAAAGTTTCGGTCTCACATTAAACCTCTGGATTCTCCCCCTGCCCTCTGTGGCGATGGAGACCCAAGGACAAGAGAGCCTGGAAGATAAACTGAGTTCAGAGCCCAGTCGAAAGCACAGATGGGGGCCAGCGAGAATTAATAAAATTACCAAAAGAAAGAAAGAAAGAAAGAAAGAAGAGAGAGAGAGAAAGAAAGACAAAAGAAAGAAAAAGAAAAAAGAACCAAACAAAAAAGGCCCGTGGCTGAGCCGGATGCAAACAGCTGCCCCTAAGCCCTGCCTGTTCTGTGCGCGAGCTGTGGCTGCGTATCTGAGCCTCCTTAAGAGTAGGAGGAGCTCCGGGCCTCCGTCAGGCTCCCTAAGCCTTTCCTTTCAGCCCAGAATGCCTGAATGTGAGCTGCCCACCGTCCTCCCGCCCTCCCCCACCCCACAACCCCACTCCAGCGGCTCGTAAAAAAAAAAAAAAAAAAAAAAAAAAAAACTTTCAACAACAACAGGCAGGACCAATAGCATCTCGAAAAGCCGGGAAAGGGGCCGAGCAAAGGGCGAAAGAGAGTGGAGAAAGGAGAAAGCGGGCCGGCTGGGAGCGCGCGGGGCCGGGGCTCGGCGAGCCGGAGGAGCGTTGCTAATGTTTTTGTTTGTTTGCTTTTCCATGCATGCATAATGAGGGGGCACCGCGGCACCACGCGGGGGCTCCCGGCCCACTTTTGTATTTAAAGCCTCGTTGCTAACGAGTCTGCAGCCGGGCTCAGCGGATCCGCTCCCCGGGCTCCTGGTCACCCGAGAAGCCGCCGCCGAGTGAAGCCAGGGAGCCGCTCTCCGGCAGCGCCGACTTTCTTGTTCTCCCCGCGCCTCCCGGAAAGAGCTCCCCGGAGCTCGGCCGAGGCCAGGGTTGCTGCGGGCGGAGGGGGAGGGGACGCGGGGCAGCCGGGCCGCGGGAAGGCGGGCAGCGCGCGGACGCCGGGCCAGGAAGCGGCGCGATGCGAGAGATCGCGGCGGCAGTGGTGGCGGCGCGGCGCTGAGTCCGGGCGGAAGGAGTCGCCGCGGCCGCACAACGGATCTGCAGGCGGGGAGCAAAATGCACCCGCGGCGGCGCGCGGTCCTGCAGCCCCGCCACGGCCCCGCGGCCCGCACCCCCCCGGGACGACAGTGAGCGGCTCCGGCAACCGCCGGGGGCCGAGCGGGGTGGGAGAGCGGGACCAGGTCTCGGCTGCTGTTCATTTCCAGGAAGCCACCGCAGCCGGAGCAAGAGGGGACCTTCTGCCACCGGCGGGGCATCAGCCAGCGGCGCGCATGGATTTATGAAGACACTCATGCAAGAAGTGGGCAGGACTTGGACAAACTTTTCCACCGGCTCCGCGTCCGCAGCTCCCCGCGCCTCGTCTCCTTTCCCTTCCTCTCCCGGCGGCCGCCGCTGCCCGCGATGGTGGCCGCGCTGCTGGGCGGCGGCGGCGAGGCCCGCGGGGGGACCGTGCCGGGTGCCTGGCTGTGCTTGATGGCGCTGCTGCAGCTGCTGGGCTCCGCGCCGCGGGGCTCGGGGCTGGCCCACGGCCGCCGCCTCATCTGCTGGCAGGCGCTGCTGCAGTGCCAGGGGGAGCCGGAGTGCAGCTACGCGTACAACCAGTACGCCGAGGCGTGCGCGCCGGTGCTGGCGCAGCACGACGGGGGCGACGCGCCCGGGGCCGCCGCTGCTGCCTTCCCGGCCTCGGCAGCCTCCTCCTCGCGCTGGCGCTGCCCGAGCCACTGCATCTCGGCCCTCATTCAGCTCAACCACACGCGCCGCGGGCCCGCCCTGGAGGACTGTGACTGCGCGCAGGACGAGAACTGCAAGTCCACCAAGCGCGCCATTGAGCCTTGCCTGCCCCGGACGAACGGCGGCGGCGCGGGCGGCCCCGGCGCGGGCGGGGTCATGGGCTGCACCGAGGCCCGGCGGCTCTGCGACCGCGACAGCCGCTGCAACCTGGCGCTCAGCCGCTACCTGACCTACTGCGGCAAGGTCTTCAACGGGCTGCGCTGCACGGACGAGTGCCGTACCGTCATTGAGGACATGCTGGCTATGCCCAAGGCCGCGCTGCTCAACGACTGCGTGTGCGACGGCCTCGAGCGGCCCATCTGCGAGTCGGTCAAGGAGAACATGGCCCGCCTGTGCTTCGGCGCCGAGCTGGGCAACGGCCCCGGCAGCAGCGGCTCGGACGGGGGCCTGGACGACTACTACGATGAGGACTACGATGACGAGCAGCGCGCCCCGGGCGGCGAGCAGCCGCTGGACGACGACGACGGCGTCCCGCACCCACCGCGCCCGGGCAGCGGCGCTGCTGCAGCGGGCGGCCGCGGGGATCTGCCCTACGGGCCCGGGCGCAGGAGCAGCGGCGGCGGCGGCCGCTCCGCGACCCTAGGCGCCTGGACCCCGCTCGCCTCCATTTTGCTGCTGCTGTTGGGGCCGCTCTTTTAGCCCTGGCGCCCCTCGCCGCGCGCTTGCCTGGCCCCCGCGACGGGGCACCTGTGGCTTGGGGACAGATAGAGGGGTTGGTTGGGGATACTTCCCAAAACTTTTTCCGAGTCAACTCGGTGTAGCGGGTCCCCCCGCCAGGACTCTGGGCACTTCCCCTGAAGCTCCTCTCAGGAGGTTGACTTCTTGGACCTCCTCCTCCGCCCCAATTCCAGGCTCCAGAAACTCCCAACTCGTCTGCCTCCAGCAACCTAGCTGCAGTGTTCAGGACGTCCGGGAGGACACGGGCACGCGGGGGACAGAACGGTAGTCCCGGACTGTAAAGGGAAGGTGCTGACCAGTAGGGCCTTAGCAGTTCGGAGGGATGAGAAGGAGGAATTATATTTGCAAAGGGGCTATTAGCATGTTTCCCTTGAGGGAGGAAAAAAAAGTGCCGGTATCGACTTTTATAGATTGTGGCCAGTGAGGACATTACAATCCTATGTAAACAGAAAAGTCCCACTTACCAATTCATTCCTTCACTGTATCAGCGCCCAGAATTCTCAGTGACGTGGGGGCGGGGTGGGTGGTGATTGCCTTAGAGGGAACCCCGAAATTGGTTTTGGATAAATTGGAGCCCTTGACCTTAATTTCATTGCTACCACTCTGATCTCTTAGCACATTTCTTAGGATTAAGGGTCCAAAAATGCTGATCTAAGGGGTTGCCATGGTGTTGAACAATGCAACTTTTTATTTTAAAAAGCTCTGCACTGCCGTCTATGAAAGCCGTTTTATAATGTTTGTTTTTTGTCATTTTTGTTCTTTACATCAAGAAATTAAATGTTTAGATAGGCGGAGAATGTATATTGCCTCTGCTCCTATCAGGGTTGCTAAACCCTGGTACATCATATATAAAATGTATTCAAACTGGGGTTTGTTACCAGTTGCTGTACTTTGTATATAGAATTTTTATAAATTGTATGCTTCAGAAATAATTTATTTTTAAAAAGAAATTAAAAGTTTTAAACTTACATTCATATTACACCTTTCCCCCCCTGAAATGTATAGAATCCATTTGTCACCAAGGATCAAAACCCACAGTCCATTGTGAAGTGTGCTATATTTAGAACAGTCTTAAAATGTACAGTGTATTTTATAGAATGGAAGTTAACATTCTTATTTTCAAGAGAATTTATGGACGTTGTAGAAATGTACACATGCATTTCCAAACTGCCTTAAACAGTGTATTTTTATAGACATTGTTTTTTAAAAATCCCAAGTTTTTAAATAACTATGGATTTGTGTATTTTTTGGTTATTTGTTTTATTAAAACGTGTACATCAGTAAAGAGTTTTAAACAATGCATGTGGTGTAATTACTTTCCAGAGTGATATTGTGGTTAACCCAGTAATGGGTGAGGAGGGGGGTTGAGGGGGCCACTGAGAATCTATCCACCATCAACTGAAATGAAAATACGGTATAAGACAAGAAATGCAGGGTATTATTTCTGCCTTTAATTTAATGAACAATTAGACATCTGTAAATGAGGCAGCCAAAAATATATGATTGACTGGCCTCTGTTGGTGTTTGCATTTGTGGAAAGAATTCACAAAATCGTGTCTCCTGCGCATCATTTGCGGATAATTCAGACATCATGTTGCCCCACCTCCCTCCTTTTCCCCTGAGACGTCCCCACTCTGTACCCCCCCTTCCCATCACCCCTTACCCCCAAGAGTGTCCTCTCTGGCTGCTAGACATTCTCATACAATCAAACATGCCAATAACATCTGTTACCAATAGGTTTTAGGAAGCTTGCAAGACTCAATACGTGAAAGTCATTTTCACACTTTTGGTGAAAAAGTACAAAATTTTGTTGCAAAACATTCAGACCAGCAAAAGTAAACACACAGGGCAGAGGAACAATCACCAGAACTTGTAATATTGTTGTGAGGAGTTGTTTAGCAGTGGCTGAAGGCTGGGTTCCTGCCAGAGCTACTGATCTACACTCAAACGCCCTTAGATAAATAATTACACTCTTAAGCTGTGTCGAGTGCTGATACACTTGACCTTGTAAATAGAAATGTTTGCAGTAGGAATAAACTCCGGCATTGGAAAATCTTTTAAACATTAACACAAAAGAGAGCGCTCTGTCCTCTGGGGATTTGAGCCTGAACCTCGCCAAGCTAGGCACTTGCAAGGGGGAAAAAAGTTTATTTATCTTCTATTCCTGGTGTTTATTTAAAGCTTTTCATTTTAAACGCGGTGATTGGAAGGCAAGTCAGGAGTTTAAAAGTCACCACAAATAAACTTTGTCTGAGGGGTCGACAGATTAGCAAGATCTGGTGTCTCTTTATTTGATATTAACATGCGCTGAAAAAACATAACCAGATTTCTCTGCTGCCTAAAGTAATTAACAAAGCTGTGCCCCCATTCCGACTTCCTCCTACCCACTCCCACCCCCTACTTTCAAGGTTTCTTGTGCCTTTAACTCGCTCTTTTCCCAGCTTTTATGGAGGTATTCGAGGCACTTCTTGGTGCACCTAAAACCACAGTTTCTATATGTAGAGTATTAGAAAGTCTAAGACAGCTGTAGTGTCAGACTTAAGCCCAGGAGAGTGGTGTGTGGTTGGAATCTCCAGTCACCTGAATGGTTGAGTAAACATATTGTTAAAACAAAGCTGAGAGCGTTGTTTCTTTGGGAAGTGAACAAAGAGTATTCCCAGAGACTTGTAAATGAAATCAGCTTTCTTTACAAAACGACAAGTTAGCAGTGTTTCTGTGTTTGTCCTTAAATATATTTAAATCATCTCCATCTCATGTTATTTTAACACATTCTTGACTAAAAGTTAAGTCTTTGTCCCAGTAAAAGGCCCAGTTTTCCCCAGTAAGAAGTAAAAGGCATTAGCACTAGAAAAGGCCTGATAATTAACTGCTACAATAAACTCACAACTTGATTTTACAGGGTCCTGTCAAAAGCATCTGCCTGGAATAAATCAACACAGCTCACTCTTGGGGAGAAAGGACACGAGGCTTTATGTTTTCTTCCTTGAAGAAAGTGAACATGGATCGGTGGTCCATTTTAATTTAAACAGTTATACACCTGGAGCCCAAGAGTCCTCTGGTCCCCTACAGACCTAGCGGAGGTTGTGGAGATGTTAGAACCCTTGGCTAGTGGTTATGAGATTGCATATTGCCATCTGCGTCTCAGCAGAAAGGATTTTTACAGATGTTGACATCTGCAATATCGCACGCTCTCTGGGGAGCCTTTGGAATTTTGGACATTCGGCCATCTCAAATGTCCCATGGAGAATGGCTGGAAGTACCATTAATGAAAGAAAAGGTATCTCTGGCTTTTCCTGGGGATTCTCAAAACGCACCACCCTTCCAAGATAACTCTGCCAGAGTGAGAGGAACGCTTTCTAGGTTTCATGTAAAATCATGAGTCCTCACGGCCTTTCCCATTTCCCCAGTTCGCAGGTTTGAATTCTCCGTGACAGTTTATTTGTCTTTGGAGGCACTTCAGTGACAAATGTTTAAGGGAGTGTGGGACAATGGTGGAGAACAAGGAGGCAGTTCATTGAACTGACAGTGACCATACAGTAAATAGAAGGAGGTTCAGGCTTCGCTGCTCACCCGAGCACACAGCAACGCTTTTGTATATCATCACAATGGACATAACATAAGGTCTCTGTTTATTTTTAACAATATATACCGATGTGCGCGAGCAACACATGTATGTAAAGTGGAAAAATGTCTGTAGGGAAATAAGTTCTTTCTACTAAGCAGGACTTCTCTTGTGCTCGGACAGGAACCCTACAAATGGCTAGAGGGACGGACATAGCTCCTGACCCTGAATGCCACAAATTTGAGAGACTTTCAGGCTCTAACACATCTAGGGTGCACCGCCATTCCCCAGATGAGGTTCCTGTGGGTGAAGACAGAGTATTTCCAGCTCTCTGCCTTGAAGAGTCAGGAGAACCCTCATGGGAATGAGCTATCTCTCTTCCTTGCCACCATCTGTATTCGTACTCTCACTGCATCCCAGCAAGGTAACAGATCATCAAATGAAAATAGATCCCCAAAACACCATGAGGACTTTCAGAGACCTCAAATACTGTATTAGTTTTTTTTCTACTTTTAAACTTTGGCTTTGCATTCTTAACTTGTTGAGTTCATTGCGGAGGCTCTCTAACAAAACAACCTCATGTATCTCTTTTCAACCCATAGAAAGAAAAGCCCACATTATTTGTTTTTTTGACCTCTTACACCAAAGGACATCAGAAATCTTGCCAGTTGACCCTGTTTCTCCCAGCTACTTAAAGCAAGGTTGTGGGAGAGCATCGGGTTGCAAATGCCTTGTGGCCAGTGCAGTCAAGGCGGGTTGAGTTTCCAGTGGGTCTCGCTGCCTTGGGAGTGAAGTAAAGTCAGACTTTACTGTAATCTGTTTGAGAGATTGCCTCTGGAAGACAGTGGAAAAGGTTCACCCTTGACTGTCGGAATGACATAAGTCACGTGCTATTAGCATAAATACCTTCCTTCTCAGCATCAATTTAATCAATTTCTTAAATAACAGAATGATCTACTACAAAATAGTGGACTGTATACACTATATTTTGGCACAAAGATGGTCATTCTCCCACTAGTAACCAGGGGCTCTAAATAAATGATTTCAACAATGTTTTATTAAAGGACGACAAGAGCCCTCGAGCTGCATTAATCGGGGAGAAGTCGAGTGGTACTTTTGTTATGGAAATGTTAAGCACATAATAGCACGGCCAGACAATGTGCAGCCACTTCATTCTTTCAGCCATGCTGACACCTCTTAAAGAGGAACTCCAGGGAAGGATGTGGGAAAGATTTGCTTTCCGAGGAAGCTTTCAGCTAATATTTTGGAGGGCTACCTTCAAACCCTGTGTAATATGCATGCAAGGGAAGCCAGAAGGGCTGCTGAGACGCAGAAAGTGCTTTCTCCCCTTATTTCAGGAGCATGGGTTCCATAATAGAATCAAATGCCTATGTCTTAGATACAGCATTCACCAAAACAATACTTTACTGATTTTGTTGTTCTACTTCAATTTTATCAAGTTGATCAAAGACATCTACTCTCAGTGATACTGGCATATACATACTGCAGATATCTATAACATGTTCTTCTTAAGCAAACAGGTAGCATCTACACAATGTCGTCAAGGACATCTTCAATCTGTAACACAAAATAAAATGCTATTATAGACAGCCTGTGTTCTCTGGTTAACAATATGTCTCCTTCCAAGTGTACCTTTGATTTAAATTTTATAAGTTCTATAGGACATTTGCGGGTTCTTAGATACCAGAATGGGGGTAAAACCACAACTCAAACTGACTGTCTATTTTATCCCTGATTAAATGTTACTAAGCATCAAAATGAGGAAGAATTTCAGCGAGATTCGAGGTCTTTGTCACAGACGTTTCTTTTAGAAAAATGCCAGTCTTTGACCTTGGGTTTTAATCCATGTCACGTCTTATCTGCCAGGTAGTTTCACCGGTGTGGAGCCTCCTTCTATAACAAACATCAAAACGAGCTTTTGCAATGATTAAAACGTATGTCCACAATCTTGAACAGGTGGTGGGGGGTATAAAAAGAGTTCCAGAGGCATTTCCTGAGGGTGTGCTATGTATGGGGGTATCCATGTGAGTATGGTGCAATCTCGTCCGTGGACAAGCTGACGCTCAGGATGAGGAGACAGGCACACAGAGAAACTTTTCATATTACATGGTAAGCACGGAAGAGGATGACAACATGATGCTGGGTCCAAGGAAAGCTTCTTGGAGAAGGTGACATGGAAGGGAAGTCTAAAGACAGGCATGGGAGTTAGCCAAGAGAAAGGTGGGGAAGGCTGTTGTATTAGAGGTATTAAAAGAGAAAACTTCACTTGGATTAAATACGAGAGTTTAACTGAGCAAAGAACGATTCACAAATCGATCAGTCTCCTGAGCCATAGTAGACTGGGGGACTCCAGTGCAGCCACGGGCTGGAAGAAGATTTATGGGCAGAAAAAGGAAAGTGATGTATCCAAAACCGAAGTGAGGGACAGAAACAGCTGGATTGGTTACAGCTCAGTGTTTGCCTTATTTAAACACGGTTCAAACAGTTGACTACATTGGATTGACCAAAACTTGGTGATTGGCACAAGAGTAGGCTACGGTCCATTCACACCTCCACCTGTTGTGGTTGGCAATGTACAGAGAAACCTATAGGCTGAACTTAAGATATGCATAGAGGCAGCATTAGGCTAAACTTGATTTTACAGGAGGAACATGTCCAAAGGCATGGAGGGGTGAATCAGCACAGTGCTGTGCATGAGGCCATCTGTTACCAGTAGA